TGTGGTGGAGGAGCAGAACATCAAGGAGGAAAATACATTATTAAAAACTTAGAATTGGAAACAGGGAAGAAGCGTCTTCACAGAATACATTCTAAAAATTTTACCCTTGGTAATATTCTTACAAGCCGTCTTTCAAAATTTTAGATACAGTGGGTCCCCATGTGGCATTTGGCTCTTCTTTAGGGGGAGTTAATGTGGGGCTGCTATATGAAATGCAGTAGATAAGTCTATAATATTCCAAGGTAATGAAAATATTTAATAATCACAAATTACCATCTATGTTTATTTTGTTAGCCCTGTCTATCAAATGTCACAGTAGCTGAAGTTAAGCAAAACCATGGTACCATGGTCTTCTGTATTTTCTCAAGTGATTAGTAACTCCTGGTCTGAAAATTCTATAATTGATTTGATGTGTGAGAGTTAATGTTGATCAAGTATCAAATGGTTTTGGTTATATGGTTCAAAGTGGCAGTTTCCCAGTTACCAGCAGCTTTGAAGAGGCCAACTCCAGACATGGCTCATTATCCTCTTGGATGTTTTGCTACAGACTAGGTAGCTTATGCTCCTGTCTGTAAATAGGCTTCTTCATAGGAATCAACCAGAAAAGGTCTTCTACCAACCTCTAGTTTCAGTTTTTAAAAGAATGAAAAAACTTCAGCATTTGCATGGATAAGGTTTTAAACAAGTTTACTGTAGACAATAAAGAATTCAGAGTTTACTGTTATGGGCCACACTGGGTCAGTGTGCTACTGCTGGTCACCATTTAGAAATTTGTTTCTGTAATGCGGAACAGACAGTTATGAAACCTTGCATTTTGAAGGGTAAAATGCAAATCTATACATCAGGATGAATCAAACTTGAAGAAGCCTGGAGAAAAAAAGCAAAAAGAAACCTAAGCATCTAATAGTTTGAGAAGGGCAGGTATTCTCGGGCTACCTTGTCAGGTATTACGATGAAACTACAGTGGCTTGGCAGCTTCCCCCTTCTTATTAGCCAGCTGGATTACAGCAGCAGTCCATCCAAGGAAGTAATTCTTACAACTAGATATCTAGCTTCTCTGCCAGCTCACATTTGGTTTTGAAAACAATTAACTGTGAGAAACTTGATTGCATCCAGCCAGTAATTTCCTTTGGACTCAGAGATAAGAACAGAAACAGAACCAGAAATAGTCCTCTGGTGCTATACACAATGTAATTTAATGCAATTCTTCTAGCCTTCATCTATATGAATATTAGGCAAATGAGTTTAAAACTTTTTTTTTTTTTTTAAAATCTCAAAGATACTGTGGCTCCCAAAAGTGATTCTTGGTCTGATTATAGTGTATGTGTTTTTACTGCAGGTTGGACAGATTTTTGTTATAGCTGCAGCATTTATATTGTAATTAAGGCTGTGTCAGTGTTTCTATTATGACCTTGCTTCAACAAATTACTCCAGGCTGAAACTTGATGTACAGGCGCAAAATTCACTCTTTGCTATGCACAAGAAATAGGCTGTGTTTCTCTGTGTGGCAGTCACACACTCTACTCTTTTTTATTTCTCATTGTGTTGAGTATTTTTCTTGTAAATCTCAATTTGGGTGCAATTAATTTTAAAATTGGCAATAATGTATACAGAATCAGGTTTTTCTCTGCGAGTCTTAGAAAAAAAACCAGTAAACATAAATGCTTAACTGCACCAAGAGGTCAAAGTAAAGGCATTCATAAGAGAATGTTAGGGGTGGAGGGGAGAGAGATCAGAGAGGAAGCTTCCCGATGAACATAAAAGTTCTTGTTCTATGCTGCTTTCTTCCTCAGACTGGAACTGCCAGCAAGATGACTTTTCGATCTGGAAGTCTATGTGGTCCATCCAGCTGCTTCTTCCCCATCATCAACTTGATAGTGGGGTCATATGAGCATATAGCTATTTACAGTGCACTTCTATTATTATGGCTGGTGTCTAGTACAAAAAGAAGTTATTTTCTTTCAAACTGTCTCTTCCCCACAAGTAGAACAAATGAATGCTTCCCACGCTCTTCGTGAAATTGTTCTCCCAAGGGAGAAATGCTTCTCACCTTTTGCTCCTCCTCCAAAATCCAAGAAAACTCTGTCCCTTCCAGCTATTCCTGCCTGATAAAAAGACAAAGAGAAGGTGCTTGGGAGCATAGAACCTTTTTCAACAGACAGTGCTCATCACTAGAGTTCTGGAATAAATCTAATAAGGTTTGCTACCTTGAGTGACTGGCCCTTTCCGCCACTTCTTTTGTCAATGAAGAGACTACATCCTCCAGGGGATGATTCAGAACACTGCTGAAACCTTAAGGCAAATAACCTAACACTTTTGATTTTCCTTTTGCTTAGAATTTCTGCATTTTACATGTCATCAGAAAGGAAGGGTAATTGAAAAAATGGCTGATAATTCTACTTTTAATGCAAAAAATATACCGACAATATTCTGCTTTTAAAGAATTTTTAAAAAAATATTTTAAAAGAAGATTGTATTTCTGATGTAAAATTGTGGAAATAATTAAAGGTTACTGTCTGTGTTCTTCTTTCCCACTCTGTCAATGCATCTGTGGGACGTAGGGTCAGTAGAAAACCGATGAGGCCAGCAGGAGATTTGAAGCTAATGTGATGTTATGCTCCTAATGTCCTCTTCTAATCATGTACTTAGGAAAATGTGTTAAGCACAGGAAAATATATGCAGAAAGGTATATATCTTTTACTTATATTTGACTAAGACTGGTTTCCTTAGTTATTTATTTACAGTGTTAAAAAAACCCTTTCTGATTAAAAAATTGATTCGTTTATCACCTAAGGACAACAAACAGCAGGAGTTTAATACACAATCAGATAACAGATTAGTTTACAAAGCCATTCTGCAATTAGAGATGCTTAGGTTTGAATGTGCCCTCTTCCCCCTCCTCCCTGCACCTTTGGTAGATAGATCCTTACTTGCAGCTTGTTGCAATTTAATATTGTGGCTGTGATAGTTTGCTCCAGGAAGAAAATCTTCACAGATGATTATGTTAGCTATAATATCTAGCCATTGCTTTGTTAGTTGCATGTCCATGAAGTAAAGTAACTGTTAAAATATTTGCTTCATTTGTAGACTGAGGGGTGCTCCCATCTCTAAATGATTTACATTATTTATAACAGCATTTTCCTGTGCAGTAAAGAAAGAGGTTGAATTCTGGTTTGAAGTGGAAACAACAATTAGAAAAAATACTAGTACATTAGGCCCCTTACATGCATTCCTACTCCTTTGAGGATCTGGCCTGTCAGCAAAGTGTAATGTTCTTGAATATAGTGACTGCCTATAAAAAAAGCCAAAAAGAGCCCACAACCCACCACCTAATCAAAGATCTGAAAATGGAAAATTTAATTGAATGGAAATTTGAACAAATTCACACAATCACCATGCTACCCACTGGAAATAATACCCACTGTAACAATTTTTCTTTCATAGCTTCTTATTTGTGTTCTCCTTTCCTCAAGGAAACTAAGATCTCTGGGAATGTAGGATGTAAAATGTAAGTGGGACTGTCAGCAAAACCTGTTATGTTCCTGCTATTTTATTTCCTAGCTGACAAAGCAGTTTGCACAGTTTTAGTTAGTTACAACTCAAATAAACCATTAGAGAATAGTTTTCCAGAACTTATCAAGTAGCCAAAAGAAAATAAGGAAAATGAATAAAAATAGACGTAAAAAAATTATGATCTTTAAATGTGATTCGCAATTATAAGTGAAGCTGTGCTTATCGCTAACACTCTTGTCCTCCTTCCTCTTTGTTAGAGGCTTTCCGTGCAATAATTCTTCTGATGATATAATAGCCCTTGGATATGAAAACACTCTCTTTACTGAATGAAAGCTGACTAGCTTCAAACATAGAAGCTTACATAAAGGGGAAAAAAGCAAAAGCCTCAGTGCTCATTTTTGAACCAGGATTCCATGAGTATATGAAGATATGATTAAAGAAAAAAAGACCCTCTACATCTTCATATTAAACTTCAACCTTATAGATAAACAGTGTTTCCTGCCAAGTCACAGTACCATTCTGGTAGTGCCTGATGTAATATTTAGCGTTGTTTTGGGATGTGTGATCATGTGATTCCTACTTTCTACATGGCAACCAATGCAGAAACAGTCTGTCAAGGACTGTCATTGAGGATCAATGCTAAATGTTACTCAGCAGGATGCAGACTGTATCTCGGTGGGTGTCCTCCTACTATGCTTTGATTATGTTTGTTGTAAAGAAAAGCCTAGTTGTGCTTACAGCATTCATATTTCACCTCCTCTGTGGAAGATACGTTACAGGCTCTTGATTTGTCCCTATTTCAACAAGATGTGTTGTTTAAAAACATATACACAGCATTTTCAAAGATTCCTTCAGTATAATCTGATTATAAAGGGGTTATGTGACAGTTTGTCACTGCTGCTTATTGTGTGGCTTAAATCTCTGAGGACAAGCTGACTGAACATCCATACAATTTAGAGTCTGATGGCAGCTGTGGTTCAAAAATTTTGTTTTGGGCCAGATCTAGGGTCATCTGAGGAGGCACTTTGGCATACACCAAGGTAACAGAAGGATTTCATACTACTTATTGCTTCTTATAACTTCATTAGATGACAATACTAGAGGCTAGGTACATGGGGGGAAGATTTAATTAAACACAGTGGTATTTTATTAACTTAGAGCAAAAAGGGGAGGGAAAAGAGAGAGAATTTTTTAATACTTTACTGTGTGAGTGGGCAGTAGTAAGTCTACAGATAAATCTTCATCTCTGAGCATTGGTAAATATTCAGGGTTATATATTGTGAAAGAGCAAACAGGTATTACACTGGACAGCAAGCTGACCTATTGCTTTTATAAAAGGATATTTCAAGCAAAAATATGTATTTCAGAGAGCGTGTCTGTGTTTTCCACATGACAAAAACACTCACCCATGACTTCCCATTGCCTCTTAATGTTTGCTGTCTTTGATACAGTTTTATAACACTGGTGCTCTACTAACAAACTTCCAGGCATGAACGAATACATACTAGAAGACCTTACCACGTGGATGGAGCTGACAAGTACGCTCTAGATGATGATCTGGTAAATCTAGAAGTTCTAGATGAGGTACTGTACTGTCTGAGTAGCAGTTTCTGACAATTATGCCTCACATTTTACCTGTTTCTGCTTTTTAGGATTCTTTTAACAGAATCAGAAGGGTTCCTTCTTGCAAGCTTTTGTCTCACCGTGGCAAAGGAATTGTCACGTGACTGATCTGCTATCATCACTTCATTAATATTCTGTATAGTGACATAAAAGCAGTAGCAGTGAATCCTGTTATGTGGAAGAATTTAATTATGAGTGATGCTAGTTTAAATTATTTTGTGAGTTTCCTAAATTGTGAAGTTTAGTCATGAAGATCTAGATTTAAGTGATTTTTCCTAAAATTGATGAATTTATATAGAGTAGTAGAGTACATATAGTTTCTGGATAAAAAGTGATAAAACAATATCAGTTGCATATTTCGTTATATCACCTATATGCAGAGTATCTATAAATTTGTTTTGATGGTCCTTAAATTGCATGCCTGCAAGAAAAAGACGTAATACTAAATTATACTAGTGTCCTGTTTAAAACAGTCACTTAAAATTTAATCCTTGAAAAATCATTATCCTTGTTTCATAGTCAAATAAAAAATTCGATGGAAATATACTATGAAGTGCAGCAATAATGTACCCGGCCATTTTCTTTTCAAAAGGTTTGCTCAGGCTGGTATAACAAAATATGTATTAATCTGGAAATAGGAGTTGCCATTTAACTTAGTTTTATGGCATTAGCAAGAATTTTGAAAATATTTGTTTGTGGTGCTGGCATTTGAAAAATAATTAGTAACACTTATAAGTATTTCTTAATCAGTATTCTCAGTATATTTACAAAAATCTTCCTGACTGGGAAAATACTGTTTAACTATTAAACTTTCTGTAATCTTCTCAGGATACAATTATCCATCAGCTGCAGAAACGCTATGCTGACTTACAGATTTATACTTATGTTGGAGACATTTTAATAGCCTTAAACCCCTTCCAGAATCTCAGCATTTATTCTCCCCAGGTAAGAGAGATTCCAAGCTGTGGACAGTACTCACTTTACATTTTATATTAACACCACTGGGTAAAATACTTAAGTGATGTTGGAAGCTAGGAGCACAGACTAAACCGCTGCCATTTCTTCTTCCATAAGAGTGTGGCTACAAATCTTTTTTTTCCATCTCATTTGATTTCGTTCCTTTCTGCTTGGTGGCATAAATTCCGCAGGAGGGATGAAGATTACCTCAGCTACAGCTGTGCCTCTTGTCTGGCATTTAGGGCTTTCTTCTGGGAAACAGAAGATGATTATATGAACCTCCTCATGCTGAAGCTGTTGCTTCCTGAAGAATTGCTCTGACTATTGGCTTATTATATGTCCTGTGCCATAAGCTGCTGCTTAAAAGAAGTAAGCGAATCGAATGCTGTAAAGATAGAGGCAGCTTAATTCCTTACAAATATGAAGAGAGGTGGAGCCATAAGTCTTAGTCTTCATGGGTGCCTAAATCAGAGTTGCAGGTAGAGGAGCCGGATTTCAGATTCACTGTTATCTTTGAAGTTTCTTTTGTAAAGGTTGGGTATTTCCTTGATTGAATGCTTGTGTTTGAAATGCTGTTCCTTGTGATACAGTTCTTTTCACGGTCTTGTGTGGGAAACATTGGAATGCATTTTAGGTGTTGTAATTTGTATTCTGGAAGTTGGGCGGTGCCAAGAATAACCACTCTTCTTCCACGTGATTTAGTGGAAATTCTGTGGTAAACCAGGCAACTACCTTCTGTTGAAGAGGCAGAAGATAGTCACTATCTTCTTTTCATTTCTTAATTATGTAGCTAAGTTGCATATTTTGATTATTGTGTGTTCTTTTTTAAATTTAGTTCTCCAAGCTTTACCATGGTGTGAAGCGTTCATCAAATCCTCCCCACATATTTGCCTCTGCGGATGCTGCCTACCAAAGTATGGTTACATTCAGCAAAGATCAGGTAAGGATCCGTTCATTTGGGTTTAGATTTCATATTAATTGTACTGCCACTATGCTACATGGCTGTGGCTAATTATCCTTTCTGTTGTACTTTGGGGAACTTTTTCTTTAAGCCTTTTATTCCTGCATCAGTAGAACCAGAGTAGAAATCTAGTCAGGTTTGGGAATTCTGAAGAGGACGCAGTGGCATAAAAGAGACTAAAAGCTCAAATGAGATGATACGGTTAGCTGACAGTATAGTTTCCTGGACACTAATGAAGCCCTGAAAGTTGACACCATAGCAGATTAAGAGTTTGAACCACTTTTCCATTGCATAAAGACACTATCAAGCAATGGATGATTCCTTTAACTACAAGTCACAAAAGATAAGAACCATTAACTTATTTTTTTAGTAAAATATATGAAAGATAGGTCTAATATAAGGACAAAAATCCAATTATAAAGCAATGATTTTAATAAGAATGAAATACTATGCTGTAGAAGCTGGATTTCTTTTTATTACATTCTTAAGATTGTAACTTTGTACTCTTTCTCATTTTATGTGCTGTATGTACATGAATATTGAGGGCAAATAATTATTTTTATTTATAAGATCCTCCTGATGTTACCCTGCACATCATACAATAATTCATAGAAAATGCTTTTTTTAAATCACAAAAACAGAATAAAATAATAAAAAACCTGCAATCAGAAAATACTAAGCAAAGAAGACAAATAAAAGGGACATTAAAGATGAAGAAAAAAGGAATTCCACTGAGTATGTGGAAGTACACTGGCCTGAGAGATGGCTAGTACTTCTTTAATGACTTATATGCTCTTTGATGGAGGCATTAAAGAAAACAAGTACTCATGTAGAATAAGTTATGTGAGAACTTGTTATCTGGGGAAAAAAATTAATTTTGACATCAGCCTGTCAGGCTGACTTTGTGCATTTTTAATATTACATGTTTCATACCTGTTGAAGAAGTAATTTGCATTTAGATGTAAATCAGCTTCCTGTTTTCTGTTTGCAAAAGATTACAGGAGCATGCTTATCTCCATTACCTGGCCAATGTTATGTTGGTTCTTCAGGTAAAGGTGCATTAGATAAACACTGTAGCCAGATCAAAAATGTATTGATTCTGTTTGTTTTATCCATTGAGCTTTCCCTTGTATTTTCCTGTGAACCCTGAAAATTGACTCCAAGTCTAACATTTCTCCTGAAGCTAAAGTCAAGTTCTGGCCAATTCTACGAGAGTTTTATGAGTTCTACAAGAACTTACGGGCTTTAACTGTATAAACTGTTGTACATGACTTCTCTAGGCACACAAAGATGATTAAGTTAGGTATCATAACCCTGTAAATCCGTCATTGGGTTATCTGTTTCCAAGAGCAACAAAAATACCCGACAAGAAGCAAATAAATGAACTGCAAATGTCATATTGTACACACTATTTAGAGTCAAGCCCTGCACCTGCTGTCAGACACCCCAAGACATCACCAGGAAACTGCTACATCTTTCAAACCTTTTCACAAAGCTCGGTTCTATATGAAGTGTCATTGCATCAAGTATTTTAGGACTTTGTATCTTCTCCCAGCCAAAAATTTTTTCTGTTCACAGTTTGGTGCAAGTAATTTTCAGGTGTTTGCATAAAACCACATGAATCTATGCAACAGCTCAGTGTTAACATTTCAATTATATGTCAGTTGATACTATACCTTAAGTAGACTAATATTTATGCTGGTGATCTGTGGATATGAAAAAGTGGGAAAATAATAGATGCTGTTACAATTCTTGCTATGACCTGAAGTGTTCATGTGTCAGTGTTCAGGTGTGAGCTGGCCTTCAAGATGTACTGGCCTTCTACTTCCATCTCATCCATGAAGCGTAACAGCAGAGAGGAGGATACCAAGTGATTTAGACCTTTCTAGCTAATCCCTGAGTTTGGAAGCAATTTGAAGAGCCAATAAAATACCATGTGTTAAGGACTGCTGACTCAGGAAGATGATGGATATGTTTTCACAGAATCATCCAATGAACAGATGCATATTTTTCTGAATTGTTTAGATGCTAGTTTGCTCTTCTAGCTTGAATATTGGTGTCTCATACAGAATAATCTCTCTACACAGCAGCAATTATTTGAGATTATTTTTAGAGCCAGGAGCAGACTTCTGGTCAATGTAATTAAATACAGCTGTACTCTGTGTTTCATGTTAATGCATATCAAGTCAATGCAGTGAGCTCAGATGCACTGTTGAATTAAGTCACATCAACAGAGCTGTGGCAATTTTCTGAGTTTTAAGCATTTGAAACAAGCTGCATATGTGCATATTGTGTGTTACCTTGTAGATGTGGTCACTCATTTGCGTGTCTTCGCCCTTAGAAATTCAGTCACTGCTTCACACATAGGCACATTGCTATCAGGCATTGCGAGACACATTTTAGTAATCTAGGGAATAAATTATTACACTGAGCCTTTGCTGATCTTTCCTTTCAGAAGGGAGTTGAGGGAGTTGACCCTTCAAGTATTTTGTAGTCTTGGTACTAAACATTAGATAACAGATAGGAGTTGTAAGAGCTGAAATTGACCATGTGGTGAGCTGTGCACTAACTGTTTTGTTTTGTGTGTTCAGTGCATTATCATCAGCGGGGAAAGTGGTGCTGGAAAGACAGAAAGTGCCCATCTGATTGTCCAACATTTGACCTTCTTGGGAAAGGTATTTCTTAGCCAATCATGTAAAACTATGAATAAATCCTCCCAACCCCACCCCCAATTTCCACTTTATTTAATCTTTAATACTTAAAGCTGTTCATGTGAATTGTCCCACTTGAGTTAGAGACTGTGTAATCATGCATGTGAGAGTATTGAATTAAGATACTGGAATATGACCCACACCAAGCCATTCAATATTTTTTTTAAAGAGAAGGTGCCAGATCCCGAGTGTTCAGTGCCCGTAGTTACCTACAGTGTTTATCACATATACCAGTGTTCATTTATACAATAAATAATGGCAGATCTTGCTATGGCTCCAATCTTAGAAGCTCTTGGACATTTAAATGTTACGAGTGCTTAACATTAAGCAATAGCAATAACATGCTGTTAGTGCAAAATGATGGGAAAATCAAGTGTGTAAGGTTAACCTTAAGTAGATGTGCTTGGGTTTTGATACTTTTGGTACTGTAACTAATTATGACTATGTGACATCTCAGAGGCAGAACAATTGCAGAGAAAGAAGAATCTGTTTTTTCTTACCTCTGGGAGACCTCCTCATCAATTTGTTGGTCCTGTTGTTGTATAAGTACAAAGGTTAATGCAGTATCTATGTCCATACAAGCAGGAGAAAGGGATGCTATGCTTCGGAGCAATTGGATTGTGGGTAAAAAATGTGTATGCTTTTAATGTTCCTTCTGATCTGTATCTGTTCTGTCAAGGCCAATAACCGTGCTTTGCGAGAGAAAATTCTTCAGGTGAATCCTCTGGTTGAAGCATTTGGGAATGCCTGCACTGTCATCAATGACAACTCAAGTCGCTTTGGAAAATATCTGGAAATGATGTTTACGCCCACGGGAGCTGTAATGGGGGCAAAGATTTCTGAATATCTACTTGAAAAATCAAGGGTCGTAAAACAGGCTGTGTAGGTATATTGTCTGTCCTTTCACATTTATTTAATGTTTGGATTCTGATTAATTCTCCTAAATTCTTTATTTTAAATGCTTTCATGTCTTCTGCTAAAGCAGTGATCCCTTGCACAGTGCTATGATAACAAGAATGGTCAGTTATGTTCTTTTGGAGTGGAAGCTAGAGCTGCTCCATTCTTTGGAGAAATATTGTGGTTGACTGGGTTTTGTGTGTTTCACAGTTGTTGATCATACATCATTAAAACAAGCAGGAGATTTGCTACCTACTTCATGATAAGAACTTCTACTTTTACATTGTACAAGATGCCACAAGAATCATAGAATGATTTGGTTGGGAGGGACCTTAAAGATCACCTAGTTCCAACCCCCCTCCTATGGTCAGGGACACCTTCCACTGACGAGATCACTCAAAGCCCCATCCAGCCTGGCCTTGAACACTTCCAGGGAGGGGGCATCCACCGCTTCTCTGAGCAACCTGTTCCAGTGCCTGACCACCATCACAATGAACAATTTCTTCCTAATATCTAATCTAAATCTTCCCTCTTCCAGTTTAAAGCCCTTGCCCCTTGTCCTGTCACTCCATGCCCTTGTAAAAAGTCCCTCCCCAGCTTTCTTGTAGGCCCCCTTTTAGGTACTGGAAGTCTGCTCTAAGGTGTCCCCGGAGCCTTCTCTTCTCCAGGCTGAACAACCGTGACTCTCAGCCTGTCTTCATAGGAGAGGTGCTCCAGCCCTCTGATCATCTTCGTGGCCTCCTCTGGACTCGCTCCAACAGGTCCATGTCCTTCTTGTGTTGGAGGCCCCAGAGCTGAAGGCACTACTGCAGGGGGCGTCTCAGGAGAGCAGAGTAGAGGGAGAGAATAAACATGTGTGCTTTAAAAGGATGCTTTATTTTTTCCAGGGGAGAGAAAAATTTCCATATATTTTATTATATTTATGCTGGCCTTTATCATCAGAAGAAACTTTCTGAATATAGACTTCCGGATAAAAAGCCTCCTAGGTAACTTATCAGTCCCTTGTTTTAACTGCTCGTCGTAATTAACTATTGATCAGGTCTTGCTTTCAGTATGATGCCTTGAAATCTCTCTTAATCCTTCTCCATCCCTTAAGGATTTTTTTAATCCTCCCAAGCAAAGAAGAGGATGGACAATAAGGCATTACATGATTTGTGTTTGTTTGAGGACTTGAACTATTTAAAGAGGAAGAAGAATCAAGCTTATTATTATGTAGATATTCTGTCATACTTTCAAATCAGGACAATCATCTAATGATTTCTTACTGTAATGCTTCAGAACTAAGAATATGCTTTGGAGTTGTGTTTTTAAATTGATGTTTGTACTTGGGGTGCATCTGTATTGGGTGAGGGGATGTGTGTGAAATGTTAGTAACTGGTAATAGATATTAACAAAGAATAAGCAAAAGTTAGCACAGCAGAAACAAAAATTTTGTGTTAATTATGAATTCATATTATTAATTATAATTTCATATGAATTAACACCAAAGTATATAATTGGAAGATATTGAAATAAATGTTCTTTCCGGTTACTGCGGGTACTTGCATTGAAGTCACTGGAGGTTGTACTGGCATATCTGCTAGTATGGTGCTTTCTTTCTCCCACTCTATTTAGATATATTGATAATGAAACTGGAAGAGTAATGCATGATATCATTACTAAAGATTCCTATGGAAGACAATTCGAAGCGATTCAACATTGCTTTAGAATTATAGGATTCACTGATGAGGTAAGAGATCCAATTGCTAAACCATTATTGACCTCCTTTATAAAAACCACCTCCAGTGCTACCTGTGCACAGGCTGCCATTTGGTTTTGTGGATACACACCTGTGCCACAGAATCTCTCTTATGACAGAAAAGAACTGTGAAAGCATAGTCACATGCTCAGAAGCCAAGGTCAGCCTGAAGTCTCAGTTGCTACTTAGGCAAGTCCATTCGCAATTCTGTATCACACTATTTTCTGTGTCAATAGGAGCTTACTTGAATTTGTAGAATTTGGTCTCAGAGCAAGCTGCAAGCTTTAATACCCATTCCAGTGCCCACGTTTTTCTTTCCTAGCCTAAATATGATCTACATGTCTAATTGGATTCCTTAAAAGTGCTTCTTGTCATCTTTTACAGGAAGTGTACTCAGTGTACAGAATTCTGACTGGAATTTTAAATACTGGAAATATTGAGTTTGCTGCCATTTCTTCACAACACCAAACAGATAAAAGTGAGATTCCCAACCCAGAAGCCTTAGATAATGGTAAATACATATAACATTGTCAGTTCTGTAAATGCAGTTTGACTGTATTTGTGAGAATCTCTAACTCGTGGTAACAGTTGGGCAGTGCTGGTGCTTTCCACTGCATAATCAGTTGTGTGTCTCTCTTCCACTGTCTTTTAGCTGCTGCACTACTAAGTATTGGGTCAGAAGAACTTCAAGAGGCCCTAACCTCCCACTGTGTTGTAACACGAGGGGAGACTATTATCCGAACAAACACCGTGGACAAAGCAGCTGACGTGCGAGATGCCATGTCTAAAGCACTTTATGGCCGGCTCTTCAGCTGGATCGTAAATCGTATTAATACGCTGCTTCAGCCAGATAAAAATATATGGCAAGTTACACATCACTGAATCATGTGTACTTACTGTGCATATGTCTTTGATGAGTTCATCCATTTGTATATTTTTGATTTTGCAGAAAGGGTGCTGTGTTTATTTTGGCTAAGGCTTCAAAATGGCTTTCATGCTGTGATACGAATTCTGTTTCCAGGACATTAACCCCAACATTTTCAAAGAGCTGAGTCGAGTGTAGCTACTGAAGTCAATGGAATTTGGGTGGTTAAAGTGCTGTACAATTCTTTTAAAAGATGCTTCCTATGTCATGAACATTAAAATTGTACCAAAGGCTGGTAAATAATTGGCGTACACTGAAATGCTGTAGTATGTATTCAAGTCCTTACAGTCCTTCTGCTTCTGTAAGCTAGTAATAAATACAGATCTTGGATTATTATTGTGCTGCTACTTGAGATGTAAGTGACAGGTTTTTATTTTTCATAATTACAGAAACGTTCACATTGAGCATCCTTACAATTTCGTTGCCAGATACTGATCCTGGCTGCTTTGGACCTTTCAAGCAGCTGTAGATATTTTTAGAAGCAAGAGAACCACTGAGGTGATGTGAAAATGCCTCTGATCTGAGATCTCTACTTGGCACTTCACTATATCACATAGACATGTCCTCATCCGTGCTTGCAGTACTAGTGGTGACTGTGGAATGGGTATAGTTGACCTAGCACATGGGGCTCTTAACAGTCAAGCTTGTAGCAGCAGCAGACTTGGTAATTACCCTTCTGAGTGAGTATAGCAAAAACATACTATTAAAGCTTGACACCTTTTGTCTACCTGGAGGAGCCGACAATTGATTTTATTTGGGATGTGCCTATTGAAACCCCTTGTTTTAATATGGCTGCTAAGTGTCTGTTACTATGTACCTATGATTCTCTTGCCCTCTTCATGGCAATCTGCCAGAAGCAAGTGGAAAACAAAAGTGTTAACAATGCTGAACAAATGGACGTTTTCTTACGTTCAAACACACTTTTTCTTCTCTCTTTTTGCAGCAGATTGAATCAATTCTGCAATCTTAGTTACCGTGTTTATTTTTATTTTAACTTGGTGTTGCCCATGATGAATTTTCTTTGTATTTTCACATGCAGCAATGCTGAAAATGGGATGAATGTTGGGATACTAGACATATTTGGATTTGAGAACTTCGCAAGAAATTCCTTTGAACAGCTGTGCATAAATATTGCTAATGAACAGATCCAGTTTTATTTCAATCAACATATCTTTGCACTTGAGCAGGTAAATTCAACTCTGATGAGGTCTAGTTGAATCAACCGTCCTGAACCATAGATCATGTTCAGGAGTACATTATAAACTATAAAACGGGTATGTGATTTAAATGCAAGATAATGACGTCTTTCAGTTGAAGTTTTGTAAATAATGTTGTTGCGGCCTATAGAGTATTGCTGTGCATCATAAATGTCCTAATGATGCTGTTGCCTTTACTGATTCAATGTTAGTTGTGCTGGTGACTTTCTAGATGGAATATCAGAGTGAGGGAATTGATGCTACTACAGTGGAGTACGAGGACAACCGTCCACTTCTAGATATGTTCCTCCAGAAACCCATGGGTCTCCTGTCTCTACTAGATGAAGAAAGTCGATTTCCTCAGGCAACAGACCTCACTTTAGTTGGTATGTGCAAACAAAAATTCTGGTAAATAATAAATATATCTTGAGAGAGTGGAATGACATCTTTTCTCAAATTTTACTAGCCTAGTTGTCTTGCTGAGGCTGTGCCATTTCATTTGACATTTTAAGTGTATCTTTCATTGTGATTCATCATTTTTCTCTGCTTATGTATTTTCTGTTCTTTTTATATTGCAAAAGTTATCTTATATATGAGATGTCAAGGGCTTATTGTCTTTAGAGTGTTACAAGGAAATAACCTGTGTCTTGTCCCTGTATGTGAGGTACATCAAGCAGCATTTATCCCCATTTACTCAAGGGAAGGCTGAGACCTAGTAGAATCTTGTGTCTAGGACCACCCTGTGAGCAGCATTAGTGCTGAGAGTAAAATTTAGACCTCCCAGGCTCCTAGGCCCATGTTTATCCAATTAGAAAATACTGCTTCACTCCAGATTATCTCATCATAAATAGAAAGCATGTTATTTCTGGTGTGCCATCTGGCTGAATATTTCCCTTCCTTCAAGCATATTTTACATATATTTTAACAAATCCGGGTGCCAACTTTAAAACGTGCAGCGCATGCCATGTTTAGAACTGTTGTCTTGCTTTTATTTACTAGAGCTACATTTTTCCCTGTGATATGAAACAGAGAGTTCCAGTTCTTTCAATGGAATGTGCAGCAGAGACTCAAACTGTTAGTCAGAGAAAACTAACAGCTGCCTGTTAAATTGCACGACACATGTACAAAGTTTTTCACTTCTGTTAGGCTAAGCTGAAATTTGAATTTAGGTCACAGATAGAATGAATGCTATGGTTTCATTCCAGTCCTCATTTGTGTACTAAAGCTGTGGGTCTCCCTGTGGGTCCTATAAATCAGTTAATACTGAATATTGAACTTACACTTTCACAGAGGCACTTTCCTCGGTCCAGTGCCGATCAGTCTTACTGCTGATCTGTACACAGTACAGCAGGATCCCTCAGGGAGACAGCAAAGTCGAGTACTTTGCCCTCTCCAGATGTACCAGACAATCCTTAATTCCACCACCCTCCCTCGTGCCCCCTGCCCCGAAATTCCAAACTTAGTTCTTTTTGCTTTATATACAAACTTGATTAAATATTAATAGAAATAAAAACCTAACACAAAATATTAATGAATTCTAACATTAGAAAAAACATTCTGATAATGTTTTCTGACCTATACAACATGGCAGAGAATTTTATGAATTGATTCTGACCTCAGGTCTCTAGTTGCTTGTTCAGATAAGGAAATGTAATAGCAAGTTTTACAGTATCAGCACTGTAAAACATTTTATTACAAAATATTAAAAAGCATACAAAATATCACAGGGCATAAAAGACATTTTTCTTAGAAAGTGTGTTTCTTTTTCTGTCAGCTCTTTAGAGGTAGTCATGGGAAACAGAAAGCCTCTTCAGAAGAGGTTTTAGATAGAAAACTCTTTTTCTGTAGAAGTCCAAAGGTAAATGAGATGGTCCCAGACTGAAGACATTGACGTATACTTAAAACCTGAAGCACAACGCTAAATGAATGGGAAAAGGAAGACAGGGAAAATACAAATAACAGGCATTTAAGCAAGTGAGATATATGCACAGCTTTGAATGCACATAGTTGAGATAAACCCAGCTCAAACTCTGTGTGTACATATAAGCAAATTCGTAGCAAAATATGAGAAGTCATCACACCTTCTCATTGGTCCCTCTTATTTGATAGTTTTCCATGCACAAATCTATCCACAAACAGTGGGATTTGAAAGACAGTCTTACTGGGCTAGTTTAGAATGAGCTGTTCCATTCAACAGTGGCAGCTTGGAAGAAAGCACAGAGAAGCTGGTGCACAGCTATTTCTGAGCAATCTGATAATATATGTATTTATAGTAGTTCTGGCTTCTTGAGCAGCAAACTGTCCCTAATCAGGATGAAGATTTTACTTAGTCACTCCAAGTCACTTATATCAATGTCTCTTCTCAATGTCTAGATAAATTTGAGGATAACTTACGATGCAAATACTTTTGGAGACCAAAAGGAGTAGAACTGTCATTTGGTATTCAGCACTATGCTGGAAAGGTAAGGTCATGTGATCTTTATTTGGTTCAGATAACAGTGGTATGGTCATTATTTGTTTTATCCAAAGTTTCTGCTTTATGAATTTTTTTTTCTTCATTTTAAGAGACAAAATTACAAAGTTTACAGAAACCTCGAATCTATGATTGTGGTGTACACCTGTGATACCAGGTGTAGTAGTCCATTTTAGAACCTGTCCTTAGGGCATTTTCACAAATTGTGTAGACAGTAACTGCCTTTTATTCTGAAAGAAATCTAGCACCGGGAACACCATTACTACAGTCATTTCAATGGAGCAACTCTCTGGAGTCAGAATAGGGCACGTGATTGTTAACATCATGTGAATGCCACAGTAGTTCTATGTTTGAGTGTATATCAGTATACAGATAAAATGCAATATGTAAAACAGCATCTGTAATAGAACTTGAAATCCTACAGAGAGCATTGGAAAGACTGGAGCTAGCTAGCACAGATGTTTTCTTGTACTCTGTAGCACCTAACTTCTCTTGTTCTCAACAGTTCACATATTATTTTATGTGGGGAATAATGGTCAAGTTTTTGCACATAACAGGAGCTTTGCTTGTGATTTCAGGTCCAAATCTTTGTTTATAAACAAAATCAAAATGAAATAGCATGTTTTATGTAGTTATCAATGAAGTCTTGTCTCTGGCTTATTATAAGACTCCAAAATTTTAAGATATGTTCTAATAAACTTTGTCCAGCTTTCTGGCTTGTTAAGAGTAACTGTAAAATTTCACACAGGATTATTAAATTCTTTGTGCCCAAATGGTGAAGTCATAAAAACACTACTGGCCGATTCTGTATTGCAGGAGAACATTCAGTTTCTGTGTAAACTAATGGACTCCAGTGGAATTAGGCTAGGGAGGAATATTGCTAGTGATAATAAAACACGTCTAAAAAATCACTGAAATTTAAAAAAAATAAGCAAAATTAATTGATTCTTATATGAATACAAATAGCCAGGCATTAATTTCTAATAAAAATAATTAATTTAAATAGAGGAATGTTTTGTTTTCCTAGAGTCATTTTTGCAGCAGGGAGAAGCCTATTTTAACATACCTAGATGTGCAGCTTACTCCTATTCCTCCAACAGGTCTAGTTATAGATCACAAGTTTGATGCAGACAACAAACAGATGATGACCATCTGAGAACCATTTCTTATTTCACATGTAAACTGTCATCTTAAACTTTAATGAGGTATCTCTGTTGTGTTGCATCATGCATACCATAGTTTGACATGACAAAGCATAATACAACATGATTTAAGCCATTTAACCCAATTTGATGTGCAGTGACATGCTGTGAATATAGGTGTTGTTTATAGCCAGCTCACGTTCTGAGGACACTGCTGTAGCTGTACACTTTTAAGTCCTTTGAAGATAATTCATTGGCTTGTCAGAGCCAAACTACCTGGTCTACTTGGTCGTCATCTTGACTGGTCACATTTTAAAGAACATAGTAGTTTTTGGGTAACCCTTTTTGGCACCATTTCTGATCCTATTTCCCATGCTAGGTATTATATGATGCCTGTGCATTCCTTGAGAAGAACAGAGACACTTTTTACATAGTGGTGGTGTTGCGAACTTCAGAGAACAAACTTCTTCAGCAGCTGTTCTCTAGCCCATTAACAAAAACAGGTATTTTCTGCACAGATTTGCTAACATTGCAACCTCTTCAGCTACCTACTCCTTTAAAAGTGTAATTGTATCTGGACGATTTATTTTTATTATTCTTTTTCAGCTCCACTAGATATCTAAAATATTATGATCTTTTTTTTTTTTTGAAATATGTGCACATGAATTCTTCTAAAAAACCCAGGCAGTAAGATTCATCCCTTGCTGCAGAGAAAGGGAGATTATCTGACATGTAGGGCAAGAACTCATTCTCAGGGCAGGATGAGAATATGGGAGTTTCTTCATTCTTAGTCCTTTACTAAGATCAGTTGTCAGTTGATAGATTCTCGTGTACCATGTCTTACAGGTCATAAATCATGTAATGTAGATCAAGTTGATTTGGAGGTAATATCCATCTATTTAGATGCATTGATGCAAAACAAAGTTTCTTACAAATTATAAAAACCACATACTGATCTGCTAGAATTAATTAATTCAGTTGGTTTAAAGCTTGTTGACACTGATTTACATGGAAGTGCATGGATCTATAGCTAAATAAAACAGCAAGATGAAGTTTGATTACTCTATGAATAGATACCAGAATACCAGTAACCTATACAAATTATAGTTCTGCAGTATACATGCAAACAAGCCAACAAATGTACACATCACTCAATACTTTCTACATTTTTTAAGTATCTTTTTCATAATGGGTAAAGAAAAAGATTTAATAATAAGGAATAATCTAAATATGATGGACTGTATTAGACTGCAAAATTCTTGTGATCTGATAGAACATATACAAATGAGGTGGTTGTATTTTTAGGTAGAAATAAGCGTACATGCATTAGGTAGTGCTGTGTAGGCTTGTTGTACATGGGGCATAGATGCAATTCTGTGCCTGTGCAGCAGCTCTGTCTGGGATTTCTGGACTCTCAGTAGCCCAGTCATAGCCTCTGGTAATGCCTTTAACCTCTCTTGAGATCCCTATGTAGAAAAAGAACATCTGGAGAAAAACCTATGTTGGAGTCTTCTTTGCACAGGTGAAAATGATAGCAAAATACTTGTTTTTATTCTACATAGGATAGATTCCAGTTACAATGTCTCTGCTCTTTTTCTGTAATTAGAAGGCTCTGGATTACCCCACTTCAAATTATGCTTTTAGAGGTCCCCGAGAGGTGAGCATCCAATGAGGAATCTGCTTCTCCCTTCAGCTACGACAAGCTTAGAGGGAGAGGTATATAGTTTAAGATGGAGTAGGACTGGTTTGTGCCCGAGTGGGGAACAAAGCATCTTTGTGTCTACTTCTGACATTTGAGTCCATGTTAAACTGGTGAAAGAGGTTCTTTTACTCATGCTGGATAGATCAAGCAAAGCAAAAAAGAAAGCTCACATCTTGTCAAATGTGCCTCCACACCCCTCTTTACTAGCCATTTTATACCTTGGAGCTATTGTCAGAATGAAACAGATTAGGTGCTTTGCCCCAGTTATCAGTTCCAATTACTGTAAATGTTATACTTTTGATTTTATTGCTATTTTAAAATCAGAATGCTGATGCTTTCATGCAAACTCATCTTCTTCTGGCTTTTTAGATATATTTTCAGTGGCAGCAGCACTGAACTTGGGTATTTTGCCCAAGATGCATAAAAGGTTCAGTAAGAAGACACTTCTCATTGCAGTAATGTATAATTACCATGTTGGTGTATTTCCACTTTTTTGTTTTGTCTCTTACATTCCTTCATTGTTTCCTATTTACATGAATTGCATAATTTCTGCCTCCCGTTATAGAATGCTTATCTTTCCATGAAGAGCACACAGCAAGTTGAGTGTTGTCTGTATTTCTGTCAAATTGGTGCAGGGCATCC